TACAAAAGTGGAATTAGTCTTGTAAAATATTGTCTTATAACATATGTGATTCATACATAAGGAAAGTATCTTAAAGCAGTATTTTAAGTATATACTGCCATATAAGTTGGAAATAAGGTTAAAGAGACACAGCTGGATATCTTAAAACAGGTTTTTATTATAAGCATTCTCTCCTTTGAGGGTCATATGTCACGAATTCAACCAAACATTGAAGATTTAAAAATACCTGAAAATTGACAAAACAGATACTCCAAAATAGTTTTTGTTTTCAGACCCTTTGTTAAATCATTGCTAGATTACAATTTTCCTTCTTCCCTTTTCCTTCCGCAGATGATTGCGATGTGATAATATTTTGTTACAAACTAAAAATATGATGAGTCACTCTGAAAAATGCTCACTCTGAAAGAGCATTTATTTATTAGTAAAGTAGTAAAGAGCTTAACATTTAAGAATCGGTTTGCAAAGGACCATAAAAAATAATGCTTAGAATGAATAATAATGAAACAAACAGCCAAAGAAAGTGTTCTGGAGGAAGTGACCTTCAGTCCAAGTCTCAGATGTGAGGTTAAAAATTCTTACACCTACAAAGCCAGCAATAGGTGGAAAGACAAGAAATAAGAGAAAACATGGCTGATAGTGAAGGTGATAGTGACAACTGCTATACACCCAATGACACAGAAAAGAAGCTGTTCATTCTTTTAGATATAGCAAAGTGTTCCTTATATATTAGTGGGAGACCTCAGAGCATTAACTGGGCTTTCACCCTGCCTGCTAGAACAAACACTACTGAGGCATGCTACTCATTTTACATACCACATTGACAATGGAATTTTGGTCAGATCTCCATGAGAAACTAGGGAGACATAAGTGCTGTATTCATTTGGTTAGATATTTACATTGTGTATGTCCTTGGTACCACTTTGCTGGTTTAGTAGAAAGCCTAAGAGAAGGTAATTTTCAAAAAGGTCTGAGTTCAAGTCAATCTTCGAATGCAAATTAACCTCTTTGGTCTGACCTCGCTTACTGGCACATTCTAGGAGGTAAAACAAAGTATAGAATGGCTGGAGAATGTGGTGTAGACTGGGAAATGGTGGAATTGAAGAAGTAGGCAGGGGAGATATCATGACAACATTTATAACCTTTGGTGAATGAATCTTCATCTTGCAAGAGGCAAGAAAGACACAATTTTGAGGGATGCAATATGACTGGATTTGCATTTTTAAAAATCAATGGCAGTACACAAAAGGATCCAGTATGACTAGATGGCTGGTGTAATCACACAGGTGAGAGCTAATAACTGTGGCAGTTGATGTAAGGATACAGAACAGATGGTAGACACACCAAGTCGGTAGTATGGGAAGGTAAGGGAGCTATTCAGAAACACTCCAGTGTTTCTGGCCAGGCAACTGCATTAATAATTTCTTTCTGTGAGATAACATCACAAGGGAATAGATTTTGGAGGGAAGATGATGATGAGTTAAATTGTATTTGAGAGGCCATATGATATAGCCAAGAAACAATTCTGTAGCCAAGTCTAGATATGCAATTAAAAGTAGAAAACTCAAAAAATGAAGCTATATTGTGACTTAGAATTAACGAATATGAAAATGAAGATGAGGGGGGATTAAGGCAATACACTCTTAAAAGCATTTGATTGAGGTAGATGAGATGAGATGTAAACTAAAGCAATGTATGATGGAAAATTTTAAGAATTAAGAAATGAATATTAAAAACTCTACTCTCACCATAAGCAAATTTATCTTCTACCAATGTTTCTCCTAAGAGTATTCATGGAGAGCAATTGGAAAAGAATGTATTTTGAACTATAAAGCCTGCTGGAAATTTTAATAATTTACTAAAATACAGAAGCTGGACATCCAAACTTTCTGAGATTCCAGTAAAACAAAAAGCCCTGTTCAAGACACAGAAGGGATATAGTCACCTCAGGCATTTGGCACAAGGAACAGGGAATGTGAGGTAAATATTTCTTTGTCTGCAAAGAAGCATCTAAGAGGAGTGTGAAAAGTTTGTGTCAATATTGTTGACATGTAATCATTGAGGGTTCAAACTGTGTTAATCCAAGAAAGGCTGTAGTGGCAGATTTTTTTTGAGTAAGCAATTACTTAGCATAGAACATTACACTGCTTACAGCAGCTGCCTCTTCCTTAAAAACCATAAATAAAATTTTAAAACACTGCCTATATGCACGTCCCAGGCCAGGTTTCCCATACACTCATCCAGTAAGCATACATCCCACACGTCCTATTCTTTACTGCACAATTTAAAATTTACGAAGAAATCTACACTCCACTGCATCCACTGTTTGTGCATGTGAATGTAAAGAGGCTCCTACACTTTTACACATTTGCTGTTAGCTATTTAGCACACACACATAAACTGATACATATCAACACACAGGTAACTGAGCAAAGTGCTGGACTTTTGTAACACTCAATTCACACATAAATCAATATAGGTACATAGTAAAACAAGTGAAAGCAAATTTTGAGTTTCAAAATGATATAACATGCATCATGGTCCTCTTCTACCTTCCAGTGTTTGAATCTGAGTATTGTTTTTGTTGTTTAACAGTAGAATCTTGAGTCTCCCCCCAAAATCTACCCACACAAAAACAGTTAGCGATCCTACACAAGATTGAGGTGGTTGAGGGTTCCTAAATGTTTCTATCTACTTGAACTACAACATATTGTTCCCAATTTTAAAATGTAGTCTCCCATTTTTGTGCACACACACACACAAAGTCCTCAAGGGTGTGCTAGTCACTCTACTATGGTGGGGCCCTGGCTCTGCCCACACTACTCTGTGGGTACACTCGGTCTCTGAGGGTAGGGAATATTATACCTAGGTATATCTCATTTGTACCAGCCTTCAGTGGAGGATGGCATCTCGCCAAACCATACAGAACCCTGCTCAGGTGATCACAGGATCAGAAGGGCAGGTCCTTGTGGGCCACCATCTAAGGGTATCATTCACCGCCATCTTTCTTTAATAGCCTATACCCAGAAGCCCTTACACCACTGGGAAATTCCTGACTTTGCCTCTCTGGTTGTGTAGGGCCAGCTCCAATCCCGTGGGGCACCTTGCCTGGTGCCATAGAAGCAGTTGGGTGTGGGTACACATTGGAGATGCTGCCCCTTCCTTTTGAATCTGATTTCCATTATGCAATTTCTCCCTCTAGCTCAAGGGAGGTCCAATACACAGGGAACTAAAATGATTTATCTTCGTTTTGAAAGTAATTGTTCAAGATCCACAGCTGATGTCTGCAAATTTAGATATAATATGTATAAAAAGTTGATTGTTAATGAAAACCAAATTTACACTGGCAAAAAAAACACTGGTTTGACCTTGTCAAGAAAAAGCAGTGTTACTTGTAGAAACACTGCCCCCTAGTGTTAAAATAATCTCATTTGTTTTGTAAAGCATGGTCACTATGCTTTTTTTAAAATAAATTTTATTTTTCCCATTTCCCCCAAGACTCCTCCTCTTCCTGTGTACAGAAGCTTTGTTTCCATCTTCCCCTTATATTTTAACTTTTTTCTTGTCCCTTCCTTCCTTTATGCTATTCTTAACAATTTAAAAAGACAAGAAGACCAAAGTCTTCTTATACGGTTTATTAAATTTTAGTTTGGTAAGTAGTATTCACATAGAAGTTGTGCCATGAACTCTCATTGAATTTACAAATTTAACTCCTTTTACTAGTAAAATGGCAACCAACATTACCTATGTGCAGTTAGTAGCAATGCTTAGATTAAAAACAAAACTTAATAGACATCATTAATGTTTTTCACCTTATAAGTCCACCATATCTATGCACAAATTATTGTTACAAAGATCTCTCAGAGACAATTAGATATAATTAGTGACTTAGTGTTCTGTTTCTCAGTTACTGAATCAATACTTCTCACTCAGTAATAACAGTAAGGAGACAACTTTTCATTGTCTAATTTGGCATAGGTAACCAAAAATCACAGGTAATAAATAATAATTTTATTTGGTTTGGAATATTAAAGTACGACTACTACTTGGTAAATTTACAACTTTATTTTATTTATTTAAATATTTTATTTATTTATTTATTTAAATTTCACACTGGGGTAGGAGATGCATAAAAGAATTAAACTAAATAAGGTACCTACCAACCTGTGGCAAACTCACAACACATAATACAGTATTGAAAATTCTGGTTTATCAATTGTCATTTTTCACTACATTAAACATTTTGAGGCCTATAAATGTACATTTTTTTAAACCTATGTCAGTACCTTAACAAATTTTTAAATGATGTATCAATGACACTAATATAAAGTTGAAAACAAAAATAAAATTTAGGTATCCTTAACTAAAATCTGAGAGATTTAAATCACAAAATGTGTTATAATCTTATCATAAATTATGTGATTTTGAACTTCACCTCTATGAGACTCAGTTTCTCATGTGAATAAAAGAGATGACACTACCTATGTATTTCATAGTGGCTATAAAGGTAAATGAGGCAATACACATTTAAACCCTTTGTAAATGCCAAGAAAATAATATTTGCTATTATACCATATATATTCAGGAATATAGGCACAACATAAAAAAACTTTTCAAGATACAATATAACAACTTACATTAAAATATCTATTTCCAAAATTAATTGTAGTTCAACACTTCTCTTTAGATGACTATACTTAAAACTATTAAATTAAATCCCTTTATTTTCTCTTCTCAAGTAAAAACTATCAAGTAAGAGTCAATATGTATATCTTCTACCTCAATGCTTTGAAAGCTCAGCTGCATTAATAAATTAACCCACTGGTTCCTTCTCAATTCTTGCTTTATATTTATCCGCGAAGATTTCTTTGAGTACCTCCCATACCTATTCTGGATTCTTCAGAATAACAATGCTCCTTTGTTTTCTTTCTTTCTTTCTTTCTTTCTTTCTTTCTTTCTTTCTTTCTTTCTTTCTTTCTTTCTTTCTTTCTTTCTTTCTGTCTTCCTTCCTTCCTTCCTTCCTTCCCTCCTTCCTTTCTTTCTTTTTCTTTGCCACTTTAGCTTCTTGCTTTTCCAATGAAGGTGTTATATGAGGCTACATCCTTGGGACTCCTTTTGGAACAAGTATCCTAATTTTTGCCTAGATGACCCAAAATTCTCCAATAGACTCAGGCATCATCTCTACTTAGCTGACTTCCAAATCTATGTCTTTTTCCCAGCCTCCTCCTAAATTTCAGGTCTATATTTTTAATTGTTGACCAATAATTTTCATCTATATGTGCTTAATTCTATGATAAGGTGAAACTCATTATCCTTTTCCCATGTCTGAAACCCCCTCCCTCCCTTTGTTGGTACTCTCGGTAGTTACCTAAGCAGAAAAGTTGGAATTATCAATGACTTGCCTACTCTTCCTCACCTCTTAATTCTATTACCTACTGATTCCATGTCTCTCTGATATCTCTCTAATCCATTCACTCTTTGTTGTAATTCTACTGCTTTATTGAGACTTCATCATTTCTTTTTTGAAATATTTTTACCAGCTTTTTATTTAATCTCTCTGGTTCAGTTTCTCACAATACAAATTCATCATATTGTATAGGATAACAAGGAAATAAAAACTCTCCTCTGCTTTTTATGCCTACTACTTGCCAGGAAAATAAACTCGAAATTTTTAACATGGCATTATGAGACTCCTACCAATTTATTTCTAATTTGTTTGTTCCGTCCTTATTCTGCTCACAGTGTTCTGTCTCTAGGACATTGTATAAATTTCCAGAGTTTCATTCTCTGGTTCATGATGTTTCCTCACTGCTATGGTTGTTCCTCACTTGTTAAAAGCCTATACACACTTTGGGTCCACATGTCATTTTTGCTGTAATACCTTCTCTATCCTGACTTTTGGGTAAAATTAACTCTTCTTCTTTCTGTACTCTTCTACTGCTATTAAAGTTAAATTTTAGTTGTAAGGTTTATCACTTTCAGTGCATTGTACTCAAAGGGAAAAAGTCTAAGTCATTTCAGTTAACTTATGTTTAACATAATACCTGAAAAGTAGAAAATATCCAATAAATATCCAACAAACCTATTCCTCATTTATGTAATAAGGAGAACAATATTTTAGAACCATCTTCATATATAAAAGTCATATTAATTTTTAGTCAGTTATCATTTAAATTAAAAATCATTTGGATTTGGTAATAATAATGAAAATACACCCTACAAATGAAGTGTCCATTGTAATCCTCTATGCTTTACAATCAATTAATTTTTCTCTTGCCATCAATTTGGAAGAAGGAAGAAAAGTTATGTAAAAATCCAGTCAAGTATCTGTAAAATACACATAAATAAAATATGAGGCTTTTACTAGTAAAATTAGTATATCATAGTAAAAATCATAAAATTTATTCAATGTTTGTATTAAAGAGCTAAAGACATTATAAAAGATAACAATAATAATTCACTTAAAAATAACCTTAGAGAAAATTGCACATGTAGTACTAAATTAGGGTAGTACTAAATCACTATCATGGTAACTCTTAAGAAACCACCTGTAATAAATGCTATTTTATTATGAAATTATGCTGAACCTTGCTTTCTGATAGTAGAAGAGGCATTGGCAAACCATATCCGGCAGGCCGAATGTGATCCCTCTCCTGGTTTTCTATAAGAAGGAGTTTAACTGGCACAAAGACATACCATTCATTTCAGCATTGTCTGTGTCTACAATAGAACACTTGAGTAGCTGAATAGGTATTATATGCCTCATAAAGCATATTTACTATACAGTTCTTTAAAAAAAATTTGGTCAACTATAGATAGAAGTTAGAAATATAGCTGAAACTAAGCCAGTTTGCCTATTTATGGATTTATTTTCCTAGAATTTAAAATCTTTATGTAAAAAAATTCTGCTCAAAAATTCAAAAAATAAAAGATATAAAGATATTATGATAGAAAATGTACACATTCAAGTACACAGTAAAGACAAAAGACATATTTTTATACTTTTAACATAAGCCTACCTATGCTTAACTAGAAAAGTGAGTGGTTGGTTATTCTTTACATAATAGAGTATGTTAAATAAAAATGAACTTTTTGGTCACTATTGTGTTACTAAAAAAGTGGAAACTTTACTCTTCTTGTAAGAATAAAAAAGTAAATTAAATATTAATTTTAAAATGAGAAGGAAAGCCTGAAAGAGGAATAAGAAGTGAAGGAGAGAGATGGGATGTGGGACAGAGACTGGAGAAAAGACAGGCTGAAAAGAGGAGGAATAACCTACTATACCTCATTCTCTAATTGATATGAAGCCAATCTGTGTACCAAAGTTAAGGCCATCACGGACGTTGGAGAAAAACTTTTCAGGATGGCAGGATGTACAGAGGTTGAGATCTTGGTTCTGGTCCTGAATATTCTGTGAAAGAATTCCTCCTTGTTCTAGAAGAATCCTTAAAGATTTTTCAAAGGATAGCAAGAGTTCATTTTACCAATAGCCAAAGAAACATAAAAAACATAAAAGATATTGCTGCAAAAGAGTTCCAGGAAAGATCTACTTGGGATAATGTAAATTATTTTCACTCACATAACATGGACCAATCAGGAAACAGCAGCTTTTATCATCATTTGCCACCTAAGTTCACATAGAACTGTACAATATTGTACTTCCATATTGTCCTGAAGACATGAGTGGAGTACAAAATTCTATAATCAAAATTAAGTGCTTTTTTAAGGAAAACTTTTCAAGTTACTAGAGTATTTGTGCACAAGATTCATCTGTTTCAGACTCAGTACTTTTCAGTAATTTAATCCTTTTATCTTCTCTCCACCTATGAACCAGATCTTTCTTTTTCATAGAAAATCTGCTTCTCCATTTTATGATATAAAATGACTAAAAATTAGTGATAATTCTAGCACTCGTACTTAAGAATCAATTTTAATCCTATTTCTGTAAATAAGGCAGAATCTGAGCAAAGTTTTCCTGACCAGAATACAAATACAATTCAATCAGATGTCAATTTCACTTTCTCCAAGTGACAAATAATTTTCAGCAGATACTAAAATCAAAATTTCATAGATTCAAAATGTTGGAGACCACATAAAATTTGAAAGTGGCTATTTATACTATCTAAAATTTTTGCTAAGCAATATGCCTCTGTAGGGAATAAAAGTATTTTGAAAATATCAGCTTCTTGATAGTTCATTACATTCAAGATAATTTATCTGAAGAATGATTATAAAGTATATGCACCTTTTTACAGTTTAAGTAGGCTTCTTTAAAAGCCAAATGTTTTATATCATTAAGCCAAATGTTTTATAACATTAAGAGATAACAGACAAGAAATTTTCTGTAATGCAAATTTAAATAATAGATTTTGTATTTAAAATGGTTTTGTATGTTAGCTAGTACCTGCTACCTGAACTGTTAGAGAACAACTGTTCTCTAAAATAATTTCCATTTCAGAATTAATAAGCGATAATCAAACTTGCAGTTCCAGAATGAAATTACACATACCTGGTGGCTTTTCGGATGTCAATATAGGGATTTGGTGAGTCAAAGAGTCGTACACATGCTGGATGAAGATTATGAAATGTATTTGCTAATTCTCTGGGAAGAGTAAAACAGCAAGGTCCTACTGAAGGTCCTAGTACAACAATAATGTCTTCCAAACTACAGCCATATTCTGATATCATAGCCTTCACTGTAGCCATAGCAACACCTAACAATGTACCTCTCCAACCTATCATAAAGAAAAACACGTAAGTTAAAACAAAATTTCAAGTGAATCTACCTCTAAATTAAAAAATGAACAGATTCAGTTTGTGCATTTTTCAAAATCCAGATGTAGTAAATTAATCAGAAAATTAATCACAGTGTAATAATGATTTTAAAATAAGATTGTACTCTAAAGTCCCTGACATAGACATTTAATGGGAGTTTCACTCAACTTCCTTTTTAAAATGTTCAGTTATGTGTAGTTTTCACTGAGAAAAAACCTTTTTAAATTTCTCCTCTTTTTTATTTGTATTGTGCAAAAGCAAACCCATAAAATATACCATTTTAACAACTTTAATGCATTGTTTTTATACCATTGCATAATCAATTTCCAGGACTTTATCTTGCAAATCTGAACCTATACCCATTAAACAATAACTCAGTTCTCTCTTCTCTTAGCTCCTGGTCACCACAATTTTTCTTCTTCTTTCCAATAATTTGAATATTTTAGATATTTCATATACATGGCATCATATATTATTTATCTTCTTGTGACAGGCTTATTTCTTTTGTACTCAAGGTTAATCCATGTTATAGCATGTGTCAGAATTTCCTAACTTTCTAAGGCTGAATAATAATCACACTGTATATGTAACATACAATTTAGATTTTATCAATCTATTTATATTTGTCATTGGACATTTAGGTTGCTTCTGAGTACTATAAAAAATGCTGCTATAAACACGGATGCACAAACATCTCTTCTTGATTCTACTTTCAGTTCTTTTCCATATATATCCAAAAGTAGAATTGCTGCATTATATGGTAGTTATTTTTACATTTTTTAAGAATCATCATAATATTTTTTATCATCAGAATTTTTATTGTATTTTATGTTTTTAAAATTTTTAAAAAGAAAAATGATTACTTATACCACACTGTTTTATATGGTGGCTATACCATTTTACATTCTCAACAATGGAGCAATAAGGTTCACATTTCTCAAAACTTAATACTTATTTTCTGGATTTTTGTTTTGTTTTGTTTTGCCTTAATTTCAGCTATCCCAGTAAGATGAGATTGTAGTGTTGATTTGCATTTCTCTAAATACACATTATATGAATAACTTTTCATGCACTTGTTAGCCATTTACATATTATCTTTGGAAAAGTATATATTCCTTTGACCATTTTTTAATCCAGTTTTCTTTCCTGTTAAGTGTAGGAGTATCTTATTCTGGATATTAACCCTTTATCAAATATTTGCTCTGCAAATATGTTCTTCTGTAAGCTGCCTTTCCACTCTATAAATTACATCCTTTTGTGTACATTTTAACACTGATGATACCCAATTTATCTATTTTTACATTTGTTGCTTATGCTTTGACTATCTAAGAAACCAACTAATCCAAAGTCATAAAAATTTACACCAATAATTTTCCCTAAGAGTTTCATAGTTTCAGCTCTTACACTTATATATTTTATCTATTTTTACTTAATTTTTAAATATGATATAAGATAAGGGTCCAACATAATTCTTTTGTATGTGGATATCAAATTTTCCAAGTACTATTTGTGAAGATACTGTCCTTTTCCTAGAAGTTATTTTGCATGTTTGTTAAAAGTCATTTGACAACATTCAAGGGTTTCTTTTTGGACTTTATTCTACTCCACTGATTTATATGTGTCTTTATACCAGTACCATACTATTTTGATTGACATTATTGTGAAATAAGTTTTAAAAACAGGAAGTTTTTTTAAAAGACATCTGACTTTGTTCTTCTTTCTCAAGGCTGTTATGAGTATTCAGAACCTTTTACAATTCTTTGCTTAGAAACACTGGCACTTAGCCAAAACCCTGCCTGGTTAGGAATCTACCTATGTACCACTGCTTTTGGGAATTAAACTCTGATTCATATAACTTGACTTAATCTTTTTTGTCCACTCTTATAAGAGTATGCCCCACCTCTATCATTATGCTTACACAAAGCAATTCTTTTAATTGTCATGCCCACGCCCCAAAATTGTAACTTTTCTTGTGTACAAGATGGGTACAGTCCTTAATGCTTACTAATACTTACCAGAGTGAGCAACCGCACATGCTTTTTTCATGGGATCTGCAAAAACTATAGGTATACAATCAGCACCAAGAGCTGCTATTGTGACTCCTCTTTGATTGGTGATTATTCCATCATAAAATTCAGGCTCCTTTTCCCCCATGCTCCAGATTTTACTGGCATGATCAGTCTAATACCAAAAATATGTGACAAACATGCTTTGAAAATGAGATTTCTCAGAACTTTACTGAAAGTACTCATTTCAGTACAAAATTATATAATTAGTGTAAGACTGCTAGAATCCAATAAATATACCACTTCTACATATAGTAAAATGCCATATGCAATATCTCTTATACAATTCACTCAAAGAAAAGCAGACTTAGAGTTTCAATATAAATCATGAATAATGGAGGAGGTCCCACTTGTAGCATTTTCCTCAAAATGTAAATTGACTTATAAAAAATTAAATGATCAACTCAATAATAATTTTACTTCCCCAGATTCAAGTAAAAGGTATAATCAGAAACCAGATATACTCCTAAGTGAAATAAATAAGTCACACATGTATAAATACTGCATAGTTTCTCTGGTGTGAAAAACTATAATAGTACATAAGATCCTAATGAGATAATTGACAATGTGAAATAGGAAGAAAAGGGCTAAAGGTGTAGGGAAAGTGAGAAGGGTAGGGGAAAGGGAATAAAGAGGGAGTGAGGAGGGCAGGGACAAGGGGAAAAATGAGAACCAAGACCTGTCTGTAAAGATATACAATCCCAATAATGAATGTAACTGGTACTCTATACCTAAAATGTACCAATAAACTCAATTTAAAAAAAAGAAACGAGTAAAAGTTTAAAGTTTAAGAATACAGTAAAAACACACATTGCTATTAATCTCCCTCAAAATATACCCTCACTTCAAACATCCCATTGTTCTTGCCACTTTCAAAAGTAGTTCTGGAAAATCTTTTTTCTTGAGTGTCTTTAGTTGTGCTGTCACAGGTGACTCATTGTCCTGAACTGACTAAAATCACTTACCTTTCATGGTCATTCTGACTTTGGGGAAAAGCCAGAAGTCACACAGTACCAGATCCAGTGAATAAGGTGAATGACAACACACCATGTTTTTCTTTTTTTTTTCTTTTTTTTTTTTTTTTGAGACAGGGTCTCACTGTGTAGTTGAGACTGACCTGGAACTCACTATGTAGCCCAGGCTGGTCTCGAACTCACAGCGATCCTCCTGCCTCAACCTCCAGTGCTGGGATTACAGGCGTGTGCCACCACGCCCAGCACACCATAATGTTTTTACAAGTCTGCCTTTCCACTGGGTAGGACTTGGTAGCAGCATCCACCAAATTTTTCATCACACCTCATAAACACATTCAGGAAAAAGCAAGGGGGAGGAGTCTGAGAGGGACTAATAACAATGTGTCCTTTACTGTAGTAAATTTTTTTAATTTAAACATTCATTCAAAATACATTTCAATCACATCCCACAAAGCTAGAATTCTGTAAGACACAAAACATTATCCCATCCTTTAGTTCTCCCTAGTGTTAATTTAGAAAATTATGGCCTTTCTCATGCAAATTTCAGGAACCTAGGAACAATATACTCCCTGAGAATTAACCATACTTTTAGAACTGGAGCTCCAGGTGAAATATGTATTGTAAAACTGATCTTTAGGCTGTGATGTACAAATCTAAGAAAAACAATTACAGAATTATCCGAAAATGTTTAATGAAACATCAGAAGCAAGAGTACCAGCTGAGACAAAAATATACTTTAGGTCTTCCAAAATATGAAACACAATTTTACCTTTACTCGGTAAAACTTCTCGGCATTAAATCCTGCAGTATTTGACAACCTACGAAGATTTTCTTTAACAACTGCCTTAGGATCTCTCCGTTTGGAACTACTGAAGAGATTAAGTGAGCTAAGAGTTGGTATATAAGATATTCCACCTGTTCTTGTAGTAAATCCATGTATGAAAATGTCTGTTGAGGAGAGGTAGTAAAGATTAAAATGTTCTACAAAATACTATAAAGCATTACAAAAGCCAGTCTCTCCAAGTAGACCTTCCCTGATCATTTCACCCAGTGCTTATTCAGCTTCTAATTCTGACAGCACTTTATTCCATATATTATTACATAGTGCTGTTTGTATATTTTACCTTCCAAGGTTATATATTATTGCTGTTCAAAGGGTATATTCTATATCTGTCTTTGTTATACCCAGTGGAATATAGCCACAATACATACTATTTAATCAAGAAAGAAGACTTTTACATAATTTCACTCTGCTGTGAAAGTGTCAATGAGTTTAGGTTTCAGAATTTTCAAATAGAAGATTGTCAGGGTGAGAAACCTCACTTTCAAGGAGAATAGGGGGATTTGTCTGAAAGCTGAATTTGCATGAAGCAAATTATTTATTTAAAGTACCTTTGAAGGCATTATCCCTTGACACCCCTGACTCACAAAGGCATCCATGACAACTAGATAGTACAAATGATGCTAAAAAAATAATAATAATAAATTAAGAGTTTGCAAAAGATGGAAGAAAGGAGATGATCAAGCTCTGAAGAAAGGCTGGATTTTCATGTACACAGTAAAAACACAGATGGTGCTGAATATACCTGGGATCAAAGGAGATGTAATAATAGTTAATTTTCCATTCAGAGCTGGCAGGCTTCTCAAATATGTTTCTATTTCATCCTGTATTTTTTCTAGTTCAGGAGATGTGATCATGTTTATTTCAGTGGACTGCTCCGAAAGGCCATCCTTCACCTGTAAATCTTCAAACTCAAAATTGTATACCTCAGTGAAGAGTTGATCAATAAAAGCCTTCATTAATGCTTTCCTGTGTACTGGTACAATCACCTTAACGCTGCTCAAATTTTTTTCATCAATTTTTTGCTTAATAGTATACAAAGAAGCAGCCATGCTTGGATTATTAACAATCTCAAATTCACTGAAAAATGCTGATAATTCATTGCTTGTCTCCAGTTTACAATTATGTTCACCATCCCATTTGCTGAAGTTATTGCAACATATTATGAAAAGGAACTTGGCCTTGCCATATCGGACAGTATTCAGTGTCTTCAGTAATGTCTGATGGCAGTTTTCCCGAGAGTTCAATTCCAAACCGAACAGATCAACCAAAACTGCTTCTGCCATCCTCCAATATCATACAAAATTCTTCAAAGAATACTTCTATGCCAGATAATCTGCAAACAAAAATAACCATAAGGAAGAATTCAAAATCATCAATCCTACAACAGAAATTTGTGGTGGATGAAAAAAACAAAAGTAATTTTACTGACTGGGATTTGTCTCAGTGGTTCCACGACTTGCCTCACAAACACAAGAGCCTGAGTTCAATCCCTGGTACCAAAAAAAAAAAAAAAAAGTAACCAAAATAGACTAGCTTTTCTGAAAGGATTCTGATCTTACTATTTGTCATCAGAGACACATGACAATTAAAACCATCCTTTATTTTGTGAAAGTGTATGTATATCTTGCTTTGTTTTCTTTATATAACAAATTTTAAGTAGGAAATTACTTGCCTTCGGATAAAGCTCATTTTTTAATTATATCCTGTCAATCCATATGACATGTTAGTCCCAACATGATTATATTAGGTCACATCCATTCAGATGAAATAGGGTTCAAACTCACCAGGTTAAACCGAGCTGAACCTGAAAGTCACATTTTTATGGAGAGAAAAGTTGAGATGGATAATAGATTTCCTCTCAGAATTTTCACAGCGCTCCACACTTGGCCACGATGACAAAAGTGACTTCAACTTTGGGCCAGAGGGCTTTCATTCCTACCTACTTTTTCATCGGTTGTGCAGATTTTCTCACCTTCCGCCCCATCTCTCACGCCAGGGCACGGGTCTCTGCGTCCTGCCACCTCTCCTACCGCTTCCCAAGGACTGGGTCCCGCTGAAATGTATTCATTTCGCCGGTTGACCGTGACAGGGTGACCACCCTCCCTCCCCCACTACACATCGCCAATTTCCACACAAGCCTCCTCGCGGGGTCCTGAGCTTCCAGGTGAGGGTCTGCACCTGAGCGCACCTACACGGCCCACTCACCGCCCGGGAGACTTGGACCTTCGGAGAGCCGGCGCCACCGGCAGAGCTCCTCCTCTCGCTTCACACAGGGCTGCACACCGGGTCTGCAACGAGCTCTGTGAGCCTTTGCGGCGTCCCAGCCCCTGCCTTGCGCTTCAGCGAAAACGGGAAGCGGCAGGCGTGTCACCTGGAGGAGTCTCCCCCCGGATCGCGGCCGCCAGAGTCCCTCTGCTCTCAGCTGGAGGCTGCCTTGGGACGCCAGG